ACAAAAAAAAAAAACAGCTCGTGTTTCTCTAATTACTATTAAAGGTCAAGGGAATATTCATATTTCTTCGGCATTTACACTCAACAATCGTTATCCGAATCTAGCAACGACTCTTCTTTCTAATCATAAACTCACCAAAGACTATAACTCTAAGGTGACATGTTTTATTAATCATTACTTATTTCACACCTTACTATGAGTAAGGCAATTGAGAAAGTAAGAGAAAATGATAGAATATATAACTACTTGAAAATAATAACCGCTTATCTTGCTCCTTCATATCTATTCTAAATAAAGACATCATTTGGGATCATCATCATAGACTAAAACATCCCTTTTTTAAAGTTCTAAAATGTATGTTTCCTTTTTTTATGAATGTTCACATTAAAAACTTTCACTATTAGACTTATGACATTGTTTAATATTTTAGAGTTCCATCTAAAAAATTATCTATATACTGTAACCATCTAAAAAATTATCTATATACTGTACTCCATTCATGTTACTTCACTCTGAAACTTGGAGATTTTAAAAAATATCTAATATTTTAGAGCTACAAAAATTTTTATCATACTTGAATGACATAAGTTCATCTTCACAAATAAAAATATGATATCAGTCACATTCTTCCAAATTTTTTCAAGAAAAAACCAATTTGATGTTAATGCTATGAAAATCAAAGCCTAACAGATCTCGAAATTATTTTAATCTAACTATATGTTTTTCCTTAATAAATAAGGTATTATTAACCACTTCCCATATCTTAACACCTTGTAAAAAATAGGGCGATAAAACGAAAAAAGATGCACATTCAAGTAGTTATAAAACACTTCTCTATAAAAATCCAATTCTCAAATATTATCAGGAAGAAACTGTCTTAAACTCAATATATCTCATTAATGGAATAGGCTTAAGAGTAATTAATTACAATAATCCTATCAACTTACTGATTTTTTTCCTACTAAACAATTGTTACACAAAATTTTCATAAAAAATTTCAATTATATGTTATATGTTCAAATCCACCAACAACATTAGACTAAACTGAACACTAGGGCACTTAAGTGTATTTTTGTTGGATATTCATCAGCTCAAAAAATATATAAATGTTATCATCTAATGATTAAAAAAATTCTTCGCTTGAAGAGCTGTGAATTTTCATAAAAATAAAGTTTCCCTCAAATCATAAGAAAAACAATTGAATTTAATATATTTTCTCTTGACATTCCAACTACACAAAATAACACATTACTCCAATCAGTAAGCCTATTTAGGTTTATTAAAGATAAAAAAAAAACAATTCAAACTCTCCAATATACACAAGATTTATAATCATTGTTAGGTAAATCCGCTAACAGCGATCAACAAATTACCACATATCTCCTTTGCAAACATTTTTACAACAATTTTATATTATATATAAAGCTTTCTTTATAAATATCAATTCTAATATCACCACAATACCAAAAACCCTATTAGGAGTAGTGAAAATAATAACTAAGAATCATAAGAGAAGATGAATGCTTTGAAAAAATCACAACTAGAAGATTACTGAGCTAATAAAAGAAAAAATTGTTAAGTACAAGCAGATTTTCTCATTAAAATATAAAGCAGGTGAAAATTATAATAATTTAAAGCAATATTAGAGGAAAAAGGTTACATCCAATTTTATGGAGTAAAATACTAAGAAACCTTACTCTTGTAGCTAAAATAGATACAGTTCACATCCTAATTTCTCTGGCTGCTTAAGCTTAGATGGTTCATGCAATAATATGATGTGAAAAATATTTTTTTAACATGTAAAAAAAATATTTATATGAATCCTTCATCATGATTGAACAGCTATTTCACAAAAAACTAAAGTGCCCTTAATAAAAATGTATTATATGATCTTAGACAATCCCAAAAAATATGATTCATCAAATTTACAAGAGTAATAAATAAAATGACATATAAACAAAGTTAGATATTATAAATTATTCATAAAACATTTCACTGACAAAAAAAAACAAATTATTATCTTGTATGTTTATGATATATTTATTACAGCTGATGACGATAAAAAAAATGATAATTGGGGCAAAACTCATTCCAAAGTTTGACAACAAAGAACTTTGCAAGCACAAATACTTCTTAGATATGGAAGTAGCTCGGTAAAAAAAAGCAAATTTAATCTCTCAACAAAGGCATATTATTGTTCTTTTTAGAGAAAAAAAAATAATCAAATTTCTAGTGAAACTCCAACTGAACTAAATTAGAAAATTAACACAAATAAAAAACAAAAGAAATTGACATTGGACAGTACAAAAATTAACAATGAAATTACTCTATCAATATCACACTCATCCTGATATCACTTTTGCTATTCATCTCATAAATAAATTTGTCCACAAAATAAAAGAATCTCATTTTTAAACTACTTAAAAATTTCTCATACATCTAAAATCTAAGTCCTGAATAAAACTTCAATATAAAGAATAAGAAACATTACAAAGTAAAAGTTATACTAATGTTGATATCACCTACGTATAGGAGACCAACTTCATGATATTACACCTTACTGGGTGGAAATCCAATAATATGCAGAAGTAAGAAATACCATGTAGTCTCAAGATCAAGAGTTCAATTTAAATTCAGAACTATTACTCTTAAGTATTTTTAATTTTAAACTCCTTGATACACCACTAACAAATTTTCATCATTCGGCACAAATCTCGATGTAATTTTTTTAACAAGAAACATTCAAACTTCGATTAAGAGTCATCCGGAGCTCTGATTTCAACAAACTTATAGTCAAACTGATCGACTCGATGAGACGGACCTAATGATATGAAATTCAGTCTAATCTGAGTCAAATCAAGCCCGGATCAAAATTAAACCACTATATTAAACCACTATTAGAGGATTTCCGGAAGCATTTGAAAGGTCAAACGAATGTTGAATCTAGCGAGTTCAGTGTCGAATCGAGCGTCAAGACGAATCCAACAAGCTCAATATTGCTCAATTCCGAGATCGTTAAGGCATTCAAATGTCCATCAAACGTCATCTGATCAAAGAGAGCTCTCCGGACCGTCCGATCAAAATGGTTCATATTCCTGTATTAATTGTACTCAAAACACTATAAATCGAGTCTCACCCCTAACATGAAGGGGGGAGGTTGAAGAGAGAACTTGAGACTTTGAAAAGAAGTTCAAGTCCAAGATCATACTCGTCATCGTCGATCGTCGTCGACCACCACTGACCGTCGGCAACCACCACTGACCGTCAGCCACCCCCCGCCGCCCGCCACCGCCTGCCGTCAGCCCCCGCCGCCCTCTGTAGCCACCGCCGACCTCCGTGGACCACCGCCGACCTCCGTGGACCACCGCCGACCGTCATCAATTGTCGTCAACCGCCGTCGATCACCGCCGACCTCCGTCAACCACCGCTGACTGGACGTCGTCAGTTGATGTTGTAATTTGAAAAGCTAATAACCCTTTTCCACCTGTGGGACAAGGGACATCTGTAATCCTCAACTTATAGTGGATTTTTACAACTGGGTCAGACCCCGTGATTTTTACCCTTATAAGGGTTTTCCATGTAAAAACTTCTGGTGTGATCACAGCTCGATTCATTTTTATCTGAGTGTGTGTTGAATGAATTTTCTAGCACGCATCACTCCTATAGATTAAAATTATACAAAAAATTTTAAAAATAAAATAGAAAGGATCTATGAAAATTTATATGACAAAAAATCTATCATTAACATTGCCTATATAATCCAGTACAACATTATCAAGCCAAACATATAGAGATGATTAGGCATTTCTTAGAAAAAAAAATAGAAATTGGTTAATTTGCATTCAGTTTGTAATCCCGCATTCAAAAACATCTTAAGTGAGCTTGAGATAATAGATTTTTATTAGTATTTAAAGGAGGGGGTGTTGAAAGTATTAGGATTGTTGAATAAGAAGTAAAAGGAGCTACTAATTTATGAGATTAGGAGTTAGGAGAATATGTGTCATGAAGTCATGAGTTTAATATGGAAAAAGGAGCATCATGAATTTATATACTAAACATGAAAAATTAAATGGAATGAATTCATAAGCTTAACATGAAAAAGGAGTGCACGTTTCCTCCCACCCGCCAAGATTGAAAGTTATGAACATCATTTTAATTTTTACATTCTTTATAATTAATAACTTTTAATTATTGTTTAAATAATTTTGTGTATATATACACGAAGAATGAATGAACAATGCCTTCTAATCACTTTTTATATGCATATCAATGTAAATAACCAATTAAAATTTAATCTACATAAATTATGGCAAGAAAAACTTCGTACACGCAATCGATGTACTCGTGAAAGTAATCTCCACAAATTATGGCTAGAATGGCTCCTTACATGCCACCTCATAAATTCATGTACTCATAAATGTCACCTCACAAATCAATGTGCAAGAATTTATCTTATTTAAAAAATCAGATCACATCGACCGCTCTAACCAGTTTAAATATAATCACTCCTCCAGTAGGTTCAATCAAGGGCCAAATACGATTTCATATATAACTAGCTAAAACTGGTTTATTTTCTAATTAATCTCCCAATTCTAATATTGATCAGTTTTTTACTTTTTGAATTTGATTAGATGAATCAAAATAATAAAAAAAAAGATTAAAAATAGGAAAAATAATTAAAATATCATGTACCAAAATTTTAATTTAAAATCATATTTAACATATTGAGTTTTCTCAAAACCTAAAAAAGAACATTAATTCAACCAAGAAAAGAAAAATATTCACAAAAGCTATACGTTAAGTGTTTAGCCAAGAAAATCAACAGTAGAATATAAATTCAGAAGAGCTGTAGAATGCAGGTGCACAGGTAAAAGATAAACAATAGAATTCAAAGTGCAGCTTAGAATCAGATCAAAAGGGCAAGAAGATAACTCCTCAAAGGAGTGATACATTTGAAACAACTCCAAGGAACAAAAAAAAAACATGTAGATATAAGACGAGCCAAAAAGCATTTTCTCAATGAGGATTTGCAAAAATTGCAGATTATTACATGAGTTTCATCCTTGTAGTACTAGTAAAAAATGTGTACAATGAGCTTCCCATATTAAAGATAAAAGACTGATGCAAACAAAATACCAGTTTGCCGTAATACCATTCACATAGCTAGAGCTTTCCTTACACGAGCAATACTAATGGAAGCCATGCGAACAAAACTCAAGGGAAGAACTTGCAACCTTTCTTCTATTCAGAGCGAGCAGCAAACCTCTCGAACTTTGGGTCGTTAAGATTGATACCGACCATGGCCTCCCCCAGGTCGCAGCTGATATCAGCCAGGATCTCTGGGTCCGAGAAATGGGTGACAGCCTGCACAATCGCCCTGGCCCGGCGTGCAGGGTCGCCACTCTTGAATATCCCAGACCCCACGAACACGCCGTCGCAGCCAAGTTGCATCATGAGAGCAGCGTCCGCCGGGGTCGCAACGCCCCCAGCCGCAAAATTGACAACCGGAAGCCGACCGAGCTGCTTGGTCTGCATCACGAGGTCGTATGGAGCAGCAATCCGCTTGGCGAAAGAGAAGACCTCGTCATCATCCATATTGCGGAGGGCTCGGATCTCACCCAAAACAGAACGGACATGGCGGACGGCTTCGACGACGTTTCCCGTACCAGCCTCTCCCTTCGTGCGGATCATAGCAGCGCCCTCACGTATGCGGCGGAGGGCCTCGCCTAGGTCCCGGCAACCGCAGACAAAAGGGACGCGAAAGTTGTGCTTGTTGATGTGGTGGTAGTCGTCTGCAGGGGTAAGCACCTCGCTCTCGTCGACGTAATCAACGCCGATGGCTTCAAGAATTTGGGCCTCAACGAAGTGGCCAATTCGGGCTTTGGCCATGACCGGAATGGTGACCGCCTGCTTTATCTCCTTGATGAGGCCGGGGTCGCTCATGCGGGCAACACCGCCCTGAGCGCGGATGTCAGCTGGGACGCGTTCAAGCGCCATGACCGCGCAGGCTCCGGCTTCTTCGGCGACGCGCGCCTGCTCGGCGTTTACGACATCCATGATAACGCCGCCGCGGAGCATCTGCGCGAGGCCAACCTTCACCGAAAAGGAAATGGATTTTTTCGGGTCGGTGAGGGCCGAATCGTTGCTGTATACTGTCACCACACCGCTTCCTGACATCGCGGTCGGTCGATCGATAGGTATATCTGTCTCGTCGGAGACCTAAATGAAATGGAATCGAATGCGTTCCTACAGATTAGGGTTTTGAATCAGGAGATGAGGGGCACGGTCAGAACTGTGATGGCTTATGCTTGGAAGGAATGCGCCCTCGGAGACCTAAATGAAATGGAATCGAATGCGTTCCAACAGATTAGGGTTTTGAATCAGGAGACGAGGGGGAGAAAGGCGAGTGACGGTCAGACCTGTGATGGCTTATGCTTGGAAGGAATGCGCCCCAGAAATCAGAACCGTTGGGGACTTCAGCGGCGGGGGTGATTTTGTAATTCATTGAGAAATTTGACTGCAGAAGGACCCAACGGAATTCATGGAAAAAAGGTCGTGTGTATAAACTCGCTAAACCCCAAATGGTTTATATATGGATTATTATAAAATATAAGAAAATTTTTATTTATATTTTGTTTTTAGTATTTTATATAAGCTTATTTTTAATTACTTGCAAATTGTAGAGTTTATATCAAAAAATATATGTGAATGAATCTCTGTGAAATCCAACGAGTCTTGTTTGTAATATATTAAGATAGTAAAAAAAAGTAAATGTCAAGCGTGTTCAAAACTTTTAAGTTGACTGAACGGAAGCATAGTCGAATAAAGAAATAGAATGAGTCCACTTCGAAGAGTAGCAGTTCATGACCAGCTCTTTTAACCGATTTTGAAACTTTTCATGAAATTGCTACGAAACGTCTTTCTGACTTTATGAGAAGACTCTTTATCGTAGAAGAGCTCCCTGCAAATAAACTTTTTGTGTTTGAAATATCAACGAGCCAAACATTAACACTGGTATTTTTGAACTAGCTGCACAGGAGTTGATCCCGGATTCGCTCGTGTTCGGCTCATTTACCGCCCCCAAGAAAGGCTGCAATAAAATAGCTTTTTCCCTTCCATTCACTTTTCTCATTTGTAGAATTTATTCAAGTAATGAGAGTTTAATGGTAAGATTCAACAGAATTGGATATTTACTTGAAGTTTAATTAGAATATGTTAACTTTGGAAGGAATTCTCGAAAGTGTACTGAAATTCAACTAAATTTATACATGAATTTTGTAAATTAAAAAAAAAACAATTATATTTGTACAACTATGACTATTATGAGGAATATGAGGTCAAATGTCTCTCATATTTAGGGTTGTAAACGAGCCGAGCTTGAGCGAGGTTAGGCTTGGCTTTCGGCTCGTTCGAAATTGTTCCTATTCGAAATCGGCTCGTGTTCGAAACCGGCTTGTGAACACTGTGATCTCGTTCGGCTCAATTTAAATATTTGTGTATGTGTTCGGCTTGAAATTGGTTCGTTAAAATTAAACTAAAAAAATAGATGTAGAGTGTTGTTCGACCCTGGATCTAATGTATGCAAAAGAAGACGCATAACCACATTACCACACCAGCAGTTATATTTTAAACTTAGATATAATTATATATTATATTATTGTATAAATAATTTATGTAATATATTATTATATAAATAATTATATAATTTTTTTTTTATTTCGAGCT